TGAGAAGTTAATTAGCTGTCTAATAATTCTGGAAGCCTTCTTTTCAAAGCAGTTCATATTTATATTTGAAAAAATTTAATGAGAAACCTTTTGATAAATAACACTTTTGTAATAATAAAATACATTATTAGGCAAAGTAGCTCAAAAAGTTAAAATTTTAAGATAAATCAAGGCATCTTGAGGAAAAAAACGATTGATTATTGAGTTCTTTACTATTGCCTTTATAAGCGGGAACTATATCGCTAAAGACAAATAACATCTTTTCGCACATACGAAACAAATAATAAAATTGGTAACCTAATGGCATCTGTTTCGTCAGAAAAACACTAAGACTTTAACGTTGCAACCTTTGCGTATAAAACAAAACAATTTCTACAAAATAATGGCTGCTAAGTTGAAAACTGACCTAATGAATATGCAAATCTAATGCAACCGGCTCCCGTGTATTCGTCAAACTATTCCATCGGTTTTACATTCAACCGTATTATCTTCATTGCTCATATATAGAATTGCAAATTTAAACCCTTTGTAAGCTCTTTGCATTTGGGAACACAAATTCGCTTTTACAGTCATTTGCATGTTACCGGCTTATTGCTATATTGGTGACTTCCGAATCTGGACGGCTTATATGGGGTACAATTTGCTCGACCGATGATACTAAATTTAATATTTATAAAGAATTCATTTTTGGATAGCGGAAACTTATAAATAATTTCTTTGTTATGTACTAGAGAACACTAATAATAATACACTAATACTTTTTACGTAAATAGTGACAAGTTCGAGAACAGTTATAAATGAATATAGACAGATGATGCACATACAACCTATAAAAATGAAGAAAATGAATTAGAATGAAATTATGAGTACATAGGAATCATTATAAAAAAGTCCAGGGACATTACTATGACATCTTTTTAGGTGATTTACACATATGGTGATATCTTATGGGTCCCGGAGACGATCAAACCGACATGTGAAGTCTGTGATCATTTACTGCGTTGACTTGATGACATTTTAGACAACATGTTTCTTAGTAACATTAACTGCTTAAGATCCACACAATCGGCAACTGAGTAGAAACAATCTACCAGTTTTGTTTTTCAAAAAGTCCGGGTTCGATTCGCGACCAGCGAAGTTATTTAATTACACCCTGTTACTTACTCACTGACTTGATGCACGCACTTGACAGCACCTTTGACAGGCGTTAAGTCCCATCAAGCAGAATTATCAATAACGTGAAACTTTTCAAGTCGACTTGATCGTCTCCGGGATCCATTACTTTGGCAGCGAATTTTGGATCTCATTTGAGCTTATGATAATACCCTAGGATGGGCAACGTCGGAAACGATTTGTTCAACGCTATGTATGATTATAACAACCTACCACTATCTAGACATGCGGCAGTGTACAGCCAAGGTAAAATTTATTTAATAACAGATTTTTATTTTTATACTTTGGTTTATTAATACAAATAACTAAGTCATATCATTTAATTCTTAATTCTTTTATTACCGAAATCGATACAATTATATACATTATTAAAACTAGATATGACGGTGGTTAGTTTGTTGATTGCGTAAGTTAAACAACTTTCGAATCAAATCAAAATTATTTATTCAGTTTAGGCTGTTACAAGCACTTATGAAAGTCAAAACTCTATGCTATCAGGTCGTAAATCTACGTACCATGAAGAACCGTCAAAAACCCAGGAATGGCTGTTTTTTTCTTTCTTTTTTCTCATAAAGTATAAGATCTAAAGTATAAGAAGTAATTTTCATCTTAATCTTCGTATAAGAAACGATTTTTTTTTCACCGTACTTCAGAAGGCATTTTAAATCGATAGTTCTTCAGCCAACTGCAGTTGGTTAATACTTTTAGGACCGCCTTGGGTTTTGTGGTGGATTAAGCCCTATTCTTTCTTTGTGATAGCGAGGACCTGTCCACTATAGACACTGAAGGTTCCATGGCATAATAAATGTTGTTGAGAGTGTCTTTCTTTCGTTTCTTCTCAAAGAGATTATTAAAAACAACCTCATCATTAACCTATATCGGGATGTAGCCTCTATCTAAAGAAATTGTCCCGTTTATAAATTTAGACGTTACAATCCCTATTGTTACTACAATAATAACGAAACTGTGTAAAGGAAGAACCGGATTCGTTATCCAAGTACTGAAATCGGAAATCTCAATCTGAATTCTTGATTTCACCAAAGGATTGAAATGAAGGAATTTAGAAAATTTACATTTGAACGACAGTAGGGAGCTGGATTACAGGCGCTTACGAAAATTTGTTCCCTTATTGCAGATAATAATGTAACATTTGAACTTCAAGGAACATGGATTTTTTATTAAAAAAAAAGGTATATTTTTGTAAATCATATTAAAACTATTTTATCCAAATGCTTATCGAAAAAGCGTTTTGAAATAGTCTAATAGGACGTGAGCATTAAAATTACTTTTATTCGTGAATTTTAAAACCACAATGCTTCTTCTGTATTGAACTAAAACTATTATTTTAAAAAATGCTTGCTAAATCCACTTTGCTCTCTGAGATTATCTGGGATAAAATGGATTTTTTAAGTATTTTTCATTAAGAATATTTTCCAGTATCACATTATGAATGCAAAATTAATCAAATATAACAATTAACTAAAAATATTAAAAAAAACTCTCAGTAACATACTGATATCTGAAACTTTTTAGAAATTAATTAATTAGCATATTAATATTCTTTTTCGCAAAAAAAAAGTAGTTACAAAGAGATAGGAGTATAATAAAAGTATAACTGAAGTCAATGTCCCTTTAATTTTTGAATAATAAGAAAATATATTAACTGTTATCAAATACATGTAAACAATAAAACTATAATATATAACATCATAATACTTTTGTGTAAATAATTGAAAGGAAGTAAAACGTTTGAAAAATATAATCATTTTTCAAAAATTCACCCATAAAACCGTTAACCTTTCATTTAGTTCAGTTTTATTTATAGAATCTTTTGTCTAAAGCCTAATAAATAATCCTGACGTCACTAATTTAAAAAGAACAAACTAAGGAATATATACCTATAAGATTGAAAGTTTTATTAAACTCACAAAACCTACACAGATGTGATAAGAGCAAATCTAAAGGTAAATGTTTGAAGCACACCCTTACAAAGTAAAGCGATACATTAAATCACGCCGACATGTGTGGAGAACATAAATTATAAGAAGCACCTCTAAGCCAGATCAGCCTTCCTATACTTTAAACACATTTCGAATCTTGAAGAGCGGGAGCCAAGGTGAGAAGGGACGCTTGAAGGTTCGTATTATCCTTAACTGCCTTACAAGGCGAGATAACATTATGACATAATGTAGCTTACGCTTAATAGATTAAGATGAGTTTATGTGTGAAGTCTATAACAGAATGACAGTGTAATTACACAGACAAGTTACGAGTAAGTGTTGAATTAAATCAATTTTGTTAAATGTATTTTATGATGAATATATCGCTAGTGTAATGGCAACTTGTGTGCTAAATAATTAGTACATTTATTTCCCTAGTTTATTACTTTTTGAACTTATTGTTATATATTGTTTGCATTTGTTTAAATCAAAATATTCATAGGACATTTAATTAATAAAACATTTTGTAAATAATTTCTGTAATAGCCGATTCCAAGCGGACTGAGCGTGTTAGCTAATGCGCCATTGAGCTTTCCAGAGATTGGAGTCTCCCAACGGTTTTTCAAAATAACATTTGTTTATTTTTTAAAATTATTATTTGTACGTTTATAGACAATATGAGTTTTTCTCGCAATAACTTGAATGTAAATAAGAACCACTACTAGTTATCAGAATACCTCTGGTCAGGATGGAATCTCATAAATCAGACCATAGGCGACAGGTATAGTAGATGTGGATGTTGCCTCGAGCGATCCATTGTTTTGTTTGACGAAACTGTTTGAGTCATTACCATGGCTAATTATACATCTAGCTCTTAAAAAAATATACATCTATTCGGCAAATATGCTTACAGCTTGAGGAACTCGATAACGCGCTCGGTCTGAGGTATGATCTGACTTCTGCAATGACCGGTCATAGGATAGTAATTATTATCATCATCATACCTTTAAGTCCTCACGCAGAGGCTCAGGCCTCCAAGCTGGCCCAATGCAGTTTGGAGGGTATAAACGACAGCAAATGCAGGTGGGACCAAAAGTTATAAGTTTCCGAAGCACGGCTTAGCTCAAGATAATATTTTTTCGATGACTAAAAATTTAATTTCTCGAGCTGCATCGGCATACAGTCATTAATACCTACCGATCAATAAGTAAGAATAGATAATGTAAAGAAAATGAAAAATTGAAGACAAATAAAAAAGAGAAGAGTACGTGTGCAACCCCTTAGAAATAAGAAATAATATATAGAATAGGAAAAACAGGAAAGGCAATCCCAGCCGAGAAGAATGAAAGAGATGCATAATAGAAAGAAAGGGAATGAATGAAAGGGTGATAAAAAGCGAGAACTGGAATGGCTGTAAGGGCCTGCTAATAAGCTAGGAGCTCGGCTACAAATTGTAAGGCCGGGCATATCAAAAATAAATCCCACCGATCCATACTGGGCCGACGTGGTGGGTCATGGCCCGTTTTCTCTATTCGATTTGATTCGATTCCAAGCATAGGGAAGGCCTGAGCCCAGGAGTGGGGACACTAATAGGCCGATGATGATAAAGAACCTTAAAATAATCAAAAATGTATAGAAAATGTTGAAATAGTACTTCCTCAATGAATCCCTAATTTTCTTAAAGCAAATAAATCAAATTAAGTGCCGAAGTAAACCCTTCCAAGAAGGCGCATATCGGGGCAACCTTTCCCTCAAATACGGTGAACATAAATTACAGTGCACACCTGTAAGCCAGATCAGGGTTGGATAAAGAAATTTAATATACGCTTTCAGTGCATAAAACTGATTTATGTTCAAACGTATGCACTTAGTTTGATTTACATCGAAATGAGAGACGAGTATGGAAAGCCTATAAAATATCCGTTTTCATATGCCACTTTCAACGTGGAGGTTTTATAGTTTTACGAGTATATAGTAGTACAAAATAATCGATACATAAACTGGTTTCAAAATTTCAGAGAACACTATATATTGTAGAATAAATTATGCCGTTATTATTTTTCCATTCACAATGATATATTGACATTCTTCAATACTACGAATTAAATAATTCTCATGACATATTATTTTAATAACAGTCCTAACTTTTTAATGGAACTAAATTAGTTAATAGACATAATAAGCAGTATCATAAAACGCATAATAGCAAAATAAAGAAAACTAAAAATGTGAAATGTAAGAAACTCATTTGAATTTAGAAAGTGAATCATATTTCTACATCAAATATTGAATATTTCTAATTTAACTAATAATAATAATATTGTAGTAAAATTGGAATATACATATGATATCATTAAATTTATTGGTTTTTGGTTGTTTCAGGTACAAAAGAAGAACAGGTTCACGTCCGGAAAAATGTTGTGACAAACATCAAACTTTAGATGATAAAGGCGGACTTACGAAAATGTGTTTACTAAAGAATTTCCAAGATGTCACGAACAACAGAACTATCCTGTTCATAATAGTACTGTTGTCTTTGAAGTTGTGTAGTCCGCAAGATCTTAACGAAGAATTTGTGAATGAGGAAAGTGTAGATGCTTCGGATTTGAGTATGGTACCAGTGACTAAAGTGCAGTTACCGGGGAACGCAGGCCCATGTAGGCTTAGCGAACTGTTATGTGATACTGGACAATGTATATCATTAGACAAGTATTGTAACGGTGAGGACGACTGTGGTGATAAGAGTGACGAGCCGAAATTGTGTACACGTAAGTATCTTGAATCATATAACCAGCTGATTTATTACTTAGGTATTACTGAACTTAAATATTCTATACATTTTCACACTAGTGTTTCTCTGACAAGGACGCTTCGAAATTCAAAAGGTAAGGTAAGGTTTGTTGAAAGTCCGTGAGTTTTATCCTCCGTGGGGGGGGGGGGGGGAGTGCACAGATGACACATTTTATATAAATATGATTTAGGTTGAGATTAATTAAGCTAGCTTTCCACCGATCCCGATTCCATTGGAGATCTTTGGGGAAGCCCATGCCCAGCAGTGGACGTATCTTTCAAAGCTAGCTTCATCATTTCAGCCGAGAGTGAAATGATGAAGCTAGCTTTGAAAGATAGACACACTATCGACAAGACTGAAAAAAATATCGGATTTTGTTAATATTTAACTGACGATCTATAATAATGATAATAATACTATATTTATATGACACATACGTTTTATATCTTTGGGTTCCATAATGGAACTGTGAAGAAATATACGTGTAGGCAACAAGGTAATGGTGGTGGTACTTTGTTGTGTCCCAATAAAAATAGCATACAATCAATATGGTTATGTGTCTATAAGATAAACTATCGATACAATCGACATCGTTGATTTTTAGTAATGACTATGGATAGTTGCACTTAACATTATTTCACGCAATTTTTGATTGTAATGCAAAATATTTGTATGATATCATAGAAACGGATAAAAATGAAGTTCATATATAAAATATGAAACGTCACAATTTACGACGCAGCGAAACCACCGTGAAAGTCATTAAAGCGTCAATGAGAATGTTATGAATTTGTCGAATAATATTCGTAGCTCCTATTTTAAATCTATTATGCGCTCGCCTTCTGCTATAACGTAATATCGTACACTTACATAGGATTTGTGTGTTCCATCGCAAGCTAAAAGGTCAACAATGAATGGTTGAATGTACAAACTTTCTATTATTTTAAAGTTTTCAATTCGCTCAACGTTCTCTACGTTATAATCTAATTATATTCATATACGTTTAGTTAATGAACTTCTGATTGTTAAACTAAACGAAGATACCATTTATTTGTTAAAAAGGCATTATTTTTATAATACAAAAATATCAAAGAAAAGATTTTTTTTTTTATTAGAACTCGGAAACATAAGCTTCTTAACTATTCATTGCTCATTACATTTTATAAAGCTGTCAGATATTATTATATTTGGTTAATTTTGCGTTCACAATACTATACTAAAAAAAATATTATACCCTATCTCAAGGTGCCAGGGTCCGAGTGGATTTTTTAAGCATTATTTTAAATTGTTTAAAAAAAAATACAATACACAAAATATATTTTTAACCAAACTGAATGTATGAAACCAACCAATTGTATGTATCTGTCACACTGCAATACAATCTACACTGATAAGAGGAAAGGTTTGTTTGTAATGAATAAGCTCAAAACTACTGGACCGATTCTAAAAATTCTTTCACCATTTGAAAGCTCCATTATCCACTAGTAACATAGGCTATATTTTATTTTGGAAAAAAAAAACGAAATTTTGGTTCCGTAAGATATTTGGGTTTTTCGGACACAAGATGTAAAAAATCAACCAGAAAAGTTACTTATTTTAAACTATAAAAGATAGAACCATTAAATTTTCTAATTAATTGTAGACCTTATAAATATCTACAAAAAATCTGTTGCAAAAAAATATCAAGGATTAATACATGCCTACATGCTTGTACCAAGTTACATCGTTCTCCTAATATAGTCTGATTGTAATGCTACGAAGATATAGAAATAATGCAAACAAAGAGGTTCTTTAAAAAAATAAAGATGACAACTATTTTTTTTTTGTTTTGGCTTGTCCGTTAGGCATATTTTTAAAATGTCACATGACGTCACGCTTTTATACATTTTCTACAAAACTATGACGTAGCGAGCCCCCGCCCCCTTAAATTTAATGCCTGTTATCTAAGTTATTTATTGTTAAATTGAAGAAAAAAAATACGTATCTAATATTTTTCTATATCTGACTGACGGACTAAATAGAATTTAATATTAAATTTCTTTTTTTTTTTACCCAGTCGTCAACCCTATTGTTTAGATCCTTCTTCATATTGTAACTCTCCAACTAGCAACAACCTTCGCAAAGTTAGCAAACTTGCCTCTCGTTTTTTGATTTCGCCTTATCATAGGGACGACGCTCGTAATCTCCATCCACACTCTGATGTTACGTAGTCCTGATTTCTTCCTCCGACCCACTCATCTTTCCCCTGAGACCTTTTCCATCACAATAAGCTTTAGCAGCTCATGTCTCATTACATGCCCCAGATAAGCTTCTTTTATTTGCTCAAAGGCCGCAAAAGTTCACAAGTCCGATATACCTTCTGAAGTTTTTAAATATTATTACCGTCTTGAGTCTAGCTGACAACAAGAATCCTAAGCCTATGCTGACATTTTGAATGCCTTTGTTAGCAACAGATTTGCATTTATTGTTCTTTACTTTGCTCTCTCTTTCCGTGTAACTAGTGTGTTTTTCCTTATTTTATGAAATATATCTTTTACTGCCGCTAATTTATTATTTCTTGTTTCCGAATTTATTATTTCCGAATATTTCAATTTATTAAAATGTATAGATGCTGTCGATAAAAGCATCTATACATTTTAATAAACTGAAATATTCGGAAATTTTAGTCTTAGGTTTATAAGATTAATGAGGTCAACATCGCTGGGCTCTTATTAATCCCTTAGTAAGCCATACTTCAAAAATAAAAGGACAGCTCATTTATGTCTCCGGGTGGAGTCGTTTTAGGTCATTGAGACGCATTTTTAATATGTCCCCCTCGGTTTGCTGACATCTGTCACAAAAGAAAAGGTACTCAATGCTACCCAGCAACAGCCATGAAAATAGCGGACAGATAATCCAACAATAGATGAAGTACGTACATCAAGATGAGATAAGTATGGATATTATATTAAATAAAAACGTTGTGTTGAATAAAAAAGGGCTATTAGTAAACTCTAAAGGTATATTTACAATGGTTGATATCAACGTACAATGTGCGGGCGATTAATGTTCCTCACTTCCATTGATCGTTCATCATTTTATTGACCAATGTGATCAGTGCGCAGAGGCCGCTCACACTCCACGTTCTTTGAAAATCGACCAGTGAAAATACGCCATAACGTATGTGAGCAGAAAATCAACTTATGAGAGTTATCTACCATAAACTTAGTTCCATATATTCTCAATCTGCTTTGTCAATGAACTGCAACAAAAACATTTGCAACTTGTTTTGTAACGTGTATGTTTATATTTTTGTTTTATACTAACTTTTGTCTGCGGATACGAAAACCGAATTTGCCTTAAATAAATTTTGTTTTTTTTTTTTCTCAATATTAAGAAAACAAAGTGGAATTACCCGCAACACGACGTAAATTATTTATGGCCCGTCAACTTTATGGCCACACCGCATGGCAGCCGAGTGGCTGTGTCAGCGGTGGACGGGACTTGGCTGCCATCGTCTTTTATGTAATATTCATCCTCCGCAGTTATGCGGGGACCCGGCCAAAACATATTATACTAGATGTTTATGGATTTTGGGTAATACACCCAACTATCCCTTTCTCAATTTTATGAGTACTTACACGAAAAGTTCGTTGAATAACGATATTGAAATATTTTCTGACGATTTGATTTGGCGCCTGGAAATGGAATTAAATAGTTGTAAAATTGATCTTCTATAAAATATAAATAATTTTATCCTAAATCCTTTATTATGTTAATTTTTAAGAAAAAACTGGCCAAGAGACAGTCGTGTTTTATCGTCGAAAGTTCCATATCAATTGGTTTCTTGTTTTGTGTTAATTTTAAAAATAAATACAAAAAGACCGTTTTTTTATTAGATACACCTCGCGTTGTTTAAAGTATATTCAGGGGTATATTAAAATTATATACGAGTATATTATGGACACATTCAATAAATATTATATATATCAAAGCGTGCTTTTCATAAAAAAATAATCTTATCACAAAATTCACCTACAATAAAAAAATTTCTGGAAATAAATGATATTTCTTATGTTCATATCTACAATCAACATGTCAGGTTTTATGGAGTTTTCTTTACCACTTGATTTTAAACCATAATGTATTGAGTGTAGAGTACAAATTAAACAGTGAAAAGGCATATTATGATAACCTCACGTCCTGATTTTTATTTGAAACATTTGTCTGTAGCCAACACTTCATAAATCTTAATTAATTTGTTTGTATTCTTTATTTATAACATAGAGGTGTCCTAATATAAATTTATTTATTTAATTTCACTTTACTTACTCGAATTTTACTGAAATTTGTTTGTTGTAAAGATTTTACGCAGTATATTCTTGAACAGACGACCTACATTTTTAATTCTTTTTAAGAGCTTGTCATAGCCTAAATACGTAATCCCCGTTTTTATCTCTTTTTAATATTCACGAGAGCTTCGATAAAATCGATGCACGCTTTTACTTCAGTACTTTTATTATTTTACTAGCTGTTCTCCCGCGACTTTGCATGCGTAAATTTTATCATATCAACCATGTATGATATAGCTTGTCGTAGGTAAAAGAATAGGGACAATGGCTTGGTTAAATAAAAGAAATTCTATAACGTCCATCAGTTAGATTCTAGAATAATATTAGATATAACTATGTGGGAATTGGTACAAAGTTGTGACGTCATGCGACATTTCAACTCAATTTGTCGCCGTAATTTACTGATTACGCAAAAAATACGTGTTTGATATACTTCGATAACATACCCGACAAACAAAATACATCATGCAGTTTTTCAAAATAGGATAGAATATAATAATAGAAGCTTATTCAATCCAAACATATGATCTTATACAAACAGTTTAAATAGACCTTTTAGCCACCAGACTTTACTGTGATTAAACCCTCAACTTCTCCGCGCCATATTATTTTGGTGTCCGCAAATACGTTTTCACGCTAGAGATGTTCGAAACGATAATTATCTTACACAAAAGACCTCCGGGATGTCCTCACAGAGGGATTGAAAGAACTAGATTACTCTCAGTATCCACATTTCCTTCTCTCCCGGAGTATAAAAGGCCAAGGGACTGCGTACCGTCAATTCACATCTTTCGAATAAATGGTTCATTTGGCCATTACATGCAGTGCTAAGTAGGCAATTTAAATTTATTTGGCAAGTCTTAGAGTGCGTATCATTTATGTTGCATTTTGAAATAATTGTGGAAGTTTGTGCTCTTTTATTTTGCCTTTTCATTTCAGAGTGATGGAGTGATTTCAGAATAATCTGGTTGTATATAATGTGGAATGTGATATATTATATATTATATATGACTCCGAACGTGAAACATACAGAATGTATCAGCTACTTCATCTTTTTCCTAAAGTCGTAACGTTCAACTAAATAATGTTTTAATGTTATAATAACCTAAATGTTGGTATCGTAAATGATGAATTCGAAATTTGCCGTTTGGGGTATATTTCTATAAAGTTTTGTAAAATGAATTGTGTGACATAAAAAATGGATTATTATATTTTTTATAATTTTGCATTCACAATGCCATACTAAAAATTATTCTTAATGCAAATGCAAAATCCGGGTCGCCCGGATTACGAAAGGTCGTGGGTTCGATTCCCATCTCAGGGTGCCAGGGACCAAGTGGATTTTTTAAGCATTAAGAATAATGAAAAGGATTATTGTGAGAATTATAAATAAATAGATTAACTTAATAATTTTGAGTGTTTTAATTATTAAAGTACCTTGTTTTAAAAAATTACTGAAACTAGTTCTATATCTATAGTTAAAGTAAGATTTATAAGAATTCAGTGGTATTTTAATTTACTTAGAATTATATATGCGGGAGTCTGACTTACTCTTGACCGATATTTTATAGATTAGGTATCACAATACCTGTTCCTATATAAATGAAATATATTTACCCTTCGCCTATCAATCTTTATGCCAGATCCTTCACGAGGCCATAAAAGGGAAACGAGTAGTATATTCAATTACATCCTCTTCGATACGCCTACACACAATATAGTCTAAGAGGTCGTGATAAAAACGTGAAAGAGCTTTCTAAAGCTTGATATATCAACACGAAGTACTAAGGGCATACATCACTCAGTAACTAGTGTTGTGGTCAAGCGCTGGAACAATACAATTACAATAAACGTTACCCATCTCGAAAAATTGAACATCATGCAATCTTCTTGTAATTGTATTGTTTTTAAAGATTTTTTTAACGGAAAATAAAAAAGTAAATTAACTTAACCTTATCATCGAAACTGCTTTCAATATTACTTTAACATTAACGTATCTCCGTTTCTTCAATCAGAAATATGCTATTTTAAGGATATTTTTAGTATAGAAATTTGGGGATTCTGATCAAAAAATCGTGACAAGTGGTTTTGGCAGTCCTCGTGTGCTGTTAACCTGACACTGCCTAAAGAATTCTGGAGATATCACAACAGATGGACATCTGAAGGTGCAAGGTCAGGACTATAAGGCGAATGCATTAACTCTCTTAATTTTTAATGAGTGGCAAAAAATGTGCGAGGTCTAGCTTTATTATTATGAAAACCACACCCCTTCTAAGTTAATTTTGACCACTTTCTCTCAATTTCTAGCTTTAATATTACCAGTTGTTCGCAGTAGAGTTCAGAGTCGTCGGCCCTGCCTGGCGGTAACAGCTCAAAATGAATAATGCCCTTTTATCCCCACTATACACACAGCATCATCTTGTTGCGAGTTAACCTGGGTTTCGTCGGTCTGTGAAGCCTGATCGACCTTTGACCGCAACCTTTTTCGCACGTTCTTGAGACACTTTTCATCACCAGTTATCAGCTTCTTCAAAAGTGGCTCGGTTTCATTACGCCGTAATAAAGAATCACAAATGAGTACACTTTTCATAAGGTTTCGTAAGGTACCCAAATATATTTTTTTTGTGTACCAAACTTTTTCAATGCGCTAAAACTGTTTTGTCGTAAATACCGATATGCCGATCTTGCTTCAATTTTACTTTTACGGACCTACGTGCATCTTTGACATCAAAATTTTCAGACTGTAAACGCTAAACCAAATGTGTGCTACGCTCACAGAAACTAGATCCATAAAGGTCACAATTTTTTTTCGAGGCCTGCTTTACATTTTTAACTTTTTGGTATTAAATAAAAATTTCAATTTCTTCACGACAGTAAGAAAAAATTATGAAAATCATACATTTTCCTAATTTGAATTCGCAGTTATCTTTTATAAAATTTGAACTTTCTAACGATACCGAAACCAGCCAGATACAAATAGTATATCCAGAAAAAAATATCATAAGTTTATGCCTACTATATGCAAAAAGACTTTAAGCCCAACTTAATAATATTATATTTTTTCAACCATTTTTTTTTTGTTTATTTCTTTGCATTATTATTA